AGGCCATCCATGAAAGTTGTGATTCAAATGCTAGTAGGAGAAGGCATTCCCATAATGCCACCAAATCCATTCGGCTCAATGAATTCGACAGACATGAAGACTAGTGCAGATAGAAACCAATATAGCAGTGAGATTCAGAGAAGTTCTGAAACTGGTGCAAATTCAAATTGAGTCGCTGTGATGCATAGTATATTTTTCAAATAATGTATAAATTTTGGTTGTTGTAAATTCTACTCAATAAAAATTTGAATGGAACTGAATTTTCAAAATAGAGAGTTTACTCTACAAAAGAGTGGGCGGCTCAATGCCTTTAAAAATTAGGCATAAGTTTTATTTTAGTAATAAGTCTTTACTAGTACAAATTAATTACTCAAACATATGCATTGTACTTTAGCATAAAAATTTCGATCTAGCTCTAACACATAATTCTCCATTAAGTCGAAATCGAATAAATCATAATTACAGTACTGCACAAATCAAAACTGAACCATATCCACCTAATTTTCAAATTATCGAATCGAAATTTTCAAAAGTCGGTACCATGAACACACATAGGGGAATTGCGGCAAACTGGACAAGAAGCATTTAATCGAAGCCATTCATCTATGCAGTCTGCATGGAAACAGTGTAGGCATTCAGGAATGGTCCTTAAAGTCTCTTTGGGCTGATATTCAGCCAAACAAATTGGGCAAATATTATCATCGGGCTTGGGCAAACGTCTGCTCTCTCCCAATATAGTTTTGGGATAAGATTCTATTGTGGGCCCATCTAGGCCCGTAAATACGATGGGTTGTGGTGTAACCGCAGAGCTGAATTCTAGGACTGGTTGGGCTCTTCTCCTGCAAGACCTTATCCTTCCACTTATGAAACATAGAAGCCCAATTAAGAATAACATTGCTGGTACTCCAGCTCCCACAATTATAGCGTAGCGCGCGCCTCTAGGAAATGCTGCAAAAGAAATTTACATCATTTTTTTTATTGTTATTGTTAGTGAGTTGGTATATCTTAAAATACATCAGCAACTATTAGAGATTATAGTGAAATGACAAGTACTTTTTTAATTTTTAACTGGATGTTTCGCAGGTCAAGTTCTAGATAGAGTCACTTTTGGTAGCTAGGGAGCATTTGGTGGGACTTACTAGCTAATTTAAATTAGTCAAGTCCCAAAAATAGGTACCAAACATTAGATGAAAAACCAAAAGAACTATTATTTGTGAATATAGATAGAAGACTAGTTATAAAGAAGGTAGTAAAAGGGGGAAAATTATTACTTCGGGCTAAGATGTTGACTTTGCCGTGGAAAGAGTAATGAGAGGAAAGTCTTGACCTTCCCTACTGCCGAGAGGTTCTAATCGGCCTAGCTTAACCAACCGTTACAAGCGTGCAGGAAATAGATATGATGGAGACTCAAGTCAAGGCGATGGATTACTATTACTATAAATAGATGCTTTCCCTAAAATAGATTTAACTTTGCATAGTGATGATGATGTGTTTTTTAACATCTCAGTGTATTTTAACCTGTTAAAACAAGTAATTTGTCCACACAAACAAATGATATCATTTTAATAGTAATAACTACTCATGGCAATAGTCACAGTCTCTCAAGTTATGACCTAAATTCTCTCTTTTCATGATAAGTCAAGCTCTTGACATAAGGAGATTCGGTCCAATATGTTCAATTCAATTTCCGTCCTATTTAAGTTATTGCAACTCTAGTAGAATAGCATATCTATAGTATACTTAGTGAAATTACACAAGTAAAATCTAAGAGGATAGAATATATGCAGACTTAGGTTTCCGAATTGCAACTCTAATATCTTTTTATAAAAATGACTATAGTATGAATAATGAGGGGTTTACTTTGATTTCACACTTCTATTTTTTATTTTATTTTTTTTGGTTCAACATATTTGCTTTGTCACTTTACCTACTAAAATAATGCAAGAAAGAGAAAAGTAAGGCAACATTCCACGCATGTCCTTGTAACGTAGAAGAAAGGGTGTATGTGGGGACTATTGACTCACTCAAAGTTTTAATGCTCCAATTCCAAAGTCAAACTTAGAATATTTGAGTGCAAAATAAAAATAAAGAGCGTTCCATAAAACTATTGAGTAACATAGATAAAGTGCAAGGAAATATAAAGATACAAAACCACAAAAACAAAATGCCACTAAAATAATGAAAATGGCTTTAAAAGTCATATGAAGTTATCATTTCTTGCATCTTCTTCTCTTTACTTGTCTTTTATGGTTTTTGATTTAGTAATGTCATTATCAAATTGGTCCATTATTTCAATTTCAAATTTGAAGTATACAATGTGAAGTTCGTTTCATGTCCAAACACAATAGGATTTGACCTCAGCATAGAGAATGAAGGTGTGAACAGCTTTCCGCAACACTCAACGTATTAATTGTCCAGATACAATATTTCAAATCAACTCATATTGAAATAACTTTCTACAAGTGTTTTAAACTAAAACTACATATTTTTTTTTCACATTATAGTAAAATCTGTTCAGATTTTAGAAACAGGATACTAGTTAATTAATTATTTAGCTAAGTACTTTCTAATATTATTATATATGGTTAGCTACTTCCGTGTTTATTTGACTATCAACTTTATGAGATGAACAAAGTCTTCAAGAAGAGAGGCTATGTTGACTTAAACATGTGAAAAGAAGTAGGAATTGCAAGCCTTCCAGAATATTGAATTAAAAATTAAAGATGGGAGACTTCAAATAAAGAACTTTAGGCCTAAAACCTTATTAGATGACATGAAATAATCATTTGAAAATTTTATTTGATCAAATTCAAAAAAGAGAGAAGAGAAACTCTTTCTTCTCAACAGTAGAACAAGGAAAGCCCTCAAATTTCGTATAAGAAGTGCCATGCTATACCAAAAAATTTATGAAAAAACATTTTTAGTTGCAAAAAAATAACACTAGAACTCGTAAAAATATATAAAAAGCGAAATAAATAAATAAACTATTGATTGCAAAACTCATATGGTGACGCAACTATAAATAGTTCAAGTATGCTTAGTATCAACTATCAACTATAATTAGAAAGCATCCAACAAGCCTTTTAACTTGCCTATGAAAAGCTCTAACCAATTTAGAGTTTAAGGAACTCTTTATTGGGTTTGAATATACTCTCCACTTACTTTTACATGTTTATTATATTAAAATAAAAATATTTTCATTTTATTTATTAATTTTCACGTATAAAAAAGAATAAATCATATTATTTTCCTGGTCTAGCCTTTAGTTGTAATTAGTCACCAAAATCATTTATCAAAAACTTAAAATAAACATCAATTCATATGAATATTTTGGTAATATTGTGAAACGTTTCAAATATGGACGAGTAAAAGTAGAGGGAGTAGTTAACAAGCTTTCCCACTTCGGAAGAAGTGGTAAAACGGCAATCAGAGATAATATGAGGAAAGTTGATATATAACGAATGTTTAGAGATCTTACCAATTCCACGACTGTTTTCACAAATGATTTCTCGATTAAACGGTGTCCTCTTCAAACTACATCTTCCACCTCTTGACGCACAAATTCTACAATCTGGATTATCCCATGTGAGCAGGATATCACCACTAAGATCTGAGGACACCACCTGTTCGAAGAAAGGCCACTGTACAGGAACCGGTAAAGTTCCAATCGATTTACAATTTGATTTTGACAACAAGTCAAATCCCCTCATAGAAGATGTAGCATAAACAGTATAATTGGAACCACTCAAACAACCTATTGGATTTAGCTTGAGCGTCGTATGATCAAAGGAGCAATTGAACAATGTGAAATCCTGATAATAAACTCCCAAAAAAGGGGAAGAAGAGAGATTTAAGTTGAGGAGAAGCTGAGGAAGGCAATTGTTACGATCGTTAAGCCATAATTCCTGTGTAGAATAATTTATAGCTTCGATTGTGAATTCTCCTGGCGAACCTGGTAATCGAATAATTGTTCGATTTAATGCATCGCAGAATAAGTTGAATCCTGGATAGCCACAATCTAGGGATTGATAATTACGGAGACGAAAAGGGAATCGGATTAATGGTTCATCTTTGCTACATGCAGATGTGAAGCAACCTGTGCTAGCAACTACGACTGTTGTGCTAATTAAATAGCACAAGAGAAAAAACAGAGCAATTGTTTTATGCAATTCCATTTAAGAAGAAAAAACTAAACAGAAACAGAGTATTAGTTTGTACTATAGTATTTTTGTTAAAATGAGTAAATAACCATTATTGTTAATTGGTAGGAATCATGATAAAGGATGTCAATATCACAAGTCAATGGTATTAGAGTTATTTTATAATTATTATTTTTTTATAGTCAAAAAGAAGAGTAGTAATTTACTTTGAACTTACTGAAGATTATGAGAGAGTTATTAATAGTGTTGTTTTGTTTGTAATATGGTTTATAGTAAAGCAGAAAGAGAGTTGAATTCCTACTCTTTACCTAATTATAAATATTAGTACTATGTGTCCGATCAAAGTAAAATAAAGAATGGTAGGTAACTAACGAGTGGCGGTAAAAGCATATGATAAATTGAACTTTTATATGAAAGTGAATTAAAATAATAAGGATGGTAAAGTTAAATGACTTTGGAAAAGAAAAGTGCGTTATTATTTTTTTTGAGTAAATTAATGAAAGAAAATTATCGCATCAATGACGAAAGGAGCAGTAATTTCGTTGTAACAAACAATTTAAGGACCATAGCACAAGCAAGTGCACAACTAACGTTTACAGATTTGGTAATCAGTATAGAGGATTCGTAATCTTACAACTAATACTTTCTAGGATTATGATGTGAAACAAGAAATTGATCACACCATTTTACCAAGTCCAAATTACAAACAGATAATATTGTATTAAATTTTTGATTTTGTAGACATGGAGTTGGTCAATGCCTTAGTAAAATGGTATAATTGAATGTTCCATGACATAAAATGATTCAAGTCACCATCAAAGACTTAAAACATTTACCAAATACCAGAAAACATCAAATCATCTAATCCCAGATTTAATTGAACAATTAATATTCTTGCATCACCCTATAATCATAGAGATAATAATTTGTAAATTGTAATTAACAAGACTATAACCTATATTATTAGAAACTTTGCGTTGTATAATCATGTAACAACTGCTCTTATTCAAGCACCGCGAAAAAAGAAAAAAAAAGAACTTTGAAAAATAACACCTACATTATTACTACTTCATCTCCAACATATCTGATAGGGAACTCATTACCTGTAAGACGACAGTTCAAATCAAAAGCTGAAAAGAAGATTAGAAATCAGAGCAGCGGCCACCACGCTCCCAGTCACCATAGCGGGTGGGTTCAGGACCTTTAGGGCCTCCAATCTCACCAGTCTTTTTGTTAACATTAGAAGTATCCTCTTCGTCATTGTTGTCCTCAAGTTTAATATTCCCTTCATTTTCGTAATCAACCTTCTCCTTCTCATCCAAAGTATGAGCATCATGCTCTTCATCATGATCCTGGTTGATTTGCTCTCCTTGAGTTGAAGAGCAAATGAGTCGACCAGCTGAGTTCTTTGAAAAACCAACTTTGGATATTGGAAGCTCAATCAACGATTTCAAGAGATGACCCATATTTCTTGCCATTTTCCTATTTGCTTCGCGCAGTCTTGACCAGACTCGTTAGCGAGACAGAAAACCTTCAGAAAGAGTAAAAAATAGTGCCTGATCAGATTGCAGTTAATAGGTGAACTGGCTCCTTACAAGTGCAATTCCATATTTTCTCCTTGACTATCATCAGAGAGTTTATAGTGAAAAAGACTTTCAAGTATAAGTTTCTCATGAAACACAACAATCAACAAGAAGCTGCAACATTTAGTTGGTCAATAAATGATTCTTATCATTTTTCTTGCTTCCATAATTTTATCAGCTCTGAGGAAGGAAGTGAAAATGATGAGATAAATAGCAACAAGAGAAAAAGGCAATCATGACAAACTTGTAGAAACAAAAAAAGGAAGCATCTAAAACTGCCACTAAACCTCATCTGCCACCTAAATAAAACAGTTCAAGTAATTTTTGAAAAGGAAAACTTTGTTTGGAAAGCACATAGAGAAATAACGACAGCAAATAGAAGAACCCTAACAAGACAGTAATTTTATGGAACAACTTAGGGAAACAGAAGCAAAGAAGTGAATTGAAAATAGACAGGGAGAGCACAGTGGAAAGTGATACTGAGAATAGATAGAGACATGAAAAGTTCTCTCTGTCTTAGGTGTGCTATAAAGACTGTTAATTGGAGGAGACTTGCGATTGGAGAAAAAATCTGAAAAATAAACTAGAAAGTTAATAGAGGACAAGTAGCACAAAATTAGCAAATAGATAAAAACTGTATATACTTATGGCAAAGATTTCATTTCTTTTATTAAAACAGAGTGATAAGAGAAGTTTACAGAAGGGAACTCATTGTATTGTATCTAATACTCGCATAGAGAAGGTGCAATTCAAAACCACATGTCAGATTCTTCCATCATCCCCTAAATCATAAAAAGCATTTCTGTTGCCATAATGGCCAACTGTGTGGCATAATGTTGGTTATGTGGAGATAACAAGATCAAAGAGAGATGGAGAAGCTATTTTGGTCAATTCTTCAACTCGAGCCACAAGAATATACAATTTGATCTAAATACATCTGCGCACGATAGAAACTTTAGCTATAATGGTAGAAGTAGGCCTAAAAATATTTTTAAAAGGCAGTTTGGCGCACAGAGAATTCTGCGTTAGCAGAGTCTGGGAAAGAGCCAAACCCCAAGAGGTGTTATGTAGACAGCCTAACCTAATACAAGCTTTAGTGGCTGCCTACATAAAAAAGAATATGAAGATTAGAAAACTATGCAGTCCAAATGGTAAATGCATTAAGATTTGGGAGTGTCTTCGGAAAAGGAGAGTTTACCAAGCTATTTAATGTTTTATTTAAGGTGGTAGGATGCATGACGAATAAAGGAGTATCCTAATTTCAATTTTTAAGTGTTAAAGTGTGTGACCATCTCATGTAAAAGTTTAAGCTATTACAGAGTGCACAATTTTATTATTTAATTATATTCTCAACACGCCCCTTCATGTTCGGGCCTGATCATTTTCATGGGCCAAGCACGTGTATTTTCTTTTAGTTTGGATGGCGGTGAGATTCGATCGCAGGACTTCTGCCTGCTCTGATACCATGCTGAAGCGTGTGACCATCTCATCTAAAAACTTAAGCTGTTAGAGAGTGCACACTTTTATTATTTGATTATATTCCCAACACAGGAGGCCTGATTTATTATCATGGACCAAGCACGTGTAAATTCTTTTTGATTTGGGTGGCTGTGAAATTCAATCTCAAGACCTCTGCCTGCTCTGATATCATGTTAAATTAGGTCTTAAACTTAACTCACACCCTAAAATCTAGCTCCAAGGGAGTAGGATTGCCTGAACCTTATAAGGAGTCCATCCATCTCATTAACGACCAACGTGGGACTTTTGACATTCTTTAACACCCCATCTCTGACCTCACGCCTAGTGCTTAGCATCTTGTGCATGGGCAATTTTTGGGGGCCAAAAAAGATTGTTTTTTATGACAATTATGTCCGAGCTAGCTTTCATGCACCATGACAAATTCCACAAAATACTTGTCCCCTCTTACCAAACAACATGTAGTAGATAACTTTGTTCACCAAGATTAGAACAGATGAGAAGAAATCACCTGGTGTTTTTTTATCTCTGTTGGATTTGAATATAAGACCTCATGGTTCTAAACCAACCATCGGGTCACACCCTTGGATACAAAGAGATATTCCAAGTTGTGAAAACGATCACGGAATTGAATTTATAAAATGAAACTCGAAGAGAAGGCGATAGGGTGTAGACTTAGGGACACTGCAAGAGTGGCTAAGAATCAGTTTGAATTTACAACCAATATATCTCCAACAAAAGTTATATTCTCATCAAGAAGATTGATGAAAATTCATAGCTAGAGGAGACTAGATGTACATATGGTGTTAATCGATCTTGAAAAAACATATGATAGCGTACCAAAATAGCTTTTTTGGTAAGTTGGAGAAAAAACCACTTTTGTTATCATACCCCAACCCTAGGTGAGGCAGACAAGTACCAAACACATGCTTTACAAGTGACCTATGATGAGAAAGTAAACTATCATGCGGATAGATTTACTGATGAGAAGCTTCATATACAACACATATTGACTAGTTGAACCGATACATGTGACAAGTAAAACCATGAATACAGATGATAGCTTTACGATGTCTACAAAACCTCTACTGGAATCCATGACTATACGACTATGAAAATATGCATAGTAAAGACTCGGCTCCTGTTAAATGGATAAATGTCAGAACGGACATGTATGAAGGAGCCATCACTAGGATGAGAGCGATAGTAGGAGATACAAAGGACTTTCCCATAACCATGGATTTTATACTAAGTTCAGCAACTGACCCCATAATTGTTTACCCTAGTAATCAATTTAAAGTGAAGATGGGATTGTTTTACATGGTCGGTAAGGATTCACATAGGCAAACCTTGATTTTGTTTAGGATTAAGGCATAATTGTTGTTGTAAGTCCTTAAAATAATACTCCCTCCGTCCCATTTTATGAGGCAAAATTTGACCAGGCACGGAGTTTAAGAAATAATGAAGACTTTGAAATGTTTATCAAATTGTCCTTCAAAAAAGTAAATTCACTTTTCTCTCTCCTCATAAATGTATTAGAGTACTATGTTTAAAATTAAGTGGGACCAACAAGAGTAAAAGAGGAATTGTACCTTTAAATACTTACCATATAAGGAAATATGACATTCTTATTGAGACTGACCAAAAAGGAAATGGTGCCACATAAAATGGAAGGGGGGGAGTAGTACATCCTAGGTGTATAGCGTCTAGGCTCTTAATAACAGCCATGGGCACTAACAGATGGATCTGAAACAAAAACTTAAGAAAGATTGTTGGTTAGGCTCCATCAGCTGGCACCTAAGCACTATCAGAAGTACATGAATTTACAGAGGTGCTACCAGAAAGAATGTGTTCTCACGGACCCTGGAGTCTGAACCTAAGGTGCTACGACTAGCACCTTGACTCCATCATTTAGAGTCTGCATGTCATCCTAGCACAACTATTTTTCCCTTGAAAAATTACGTCTTCCAAGGTCAAAAGATAGCCATGACAATCTTATTATTTTTCAAATAGATAAGATAGATTATATGAGGAAATAAAGCTGGACCTAGGTTCTTTTCTTTTGTTCATCCTTGGTTAGATAATATTCTCCCCACAAAGACGTTTCTTTGTTTAACCACTTCAGTAAAATCATATTTATACAACTGTGCATTGTCTAAGTAGTGGTCAATAATATTGCTATTCCAATGCCAAACAATTTCGCATGAATGAACATTATTGACCATCTCAAATAATCCTCCACATTAGTTACCGATCTCCTTGAACATTTTTTGAGACCACAAATTCATGGGTAGACCTAATATTCTGATCCATACCCAGTATCTTCTTATTTCTGCAGGCAAACTCGATCTCATGCATGTGACATAGTTATGCCAACTCATACAATATAATTTGGCATTAGAATAGCAAATATGTTTTTCTTAAGCACGAAACAACACAAGATCAACATTTCATGAAACATCTATAAATATTGAATTTAACCAAACTCACAAAGGGAAGTAAATAAATAAATGATAAAAAAGATAGGCTTGAAGAAAGTACAACCCAATTTTGCTACTTCTTGTTGTATCATTTGAAGATAGTGTCATCACTCATTAGATAAATGCAATTTCACGAACTATTGACTCATCACTTTAATTGTACTGAGGCCATATAAAGTAACTCTCCAAAATTTGATGGAAAATGCGAAGGTGATAATAAAACCAAGATTCCATGTCAAAAACTCAGAACTACTGGGCACAAGGACTTACACCATTTGACGCAAGATTCTCCTAATCAAGACCCTCTTTGATTATGAAATGTAAAATATTAGATGAATCATTGTATCAACAACGACAACATAAAAGACACAAGACCAAACCAGTCATATAGTTAGTAATTATGTACCTAAAATCACAAAAAAAAATGTAATTTTTGAGACTACCATATAAAAGAATAATTAGGGGAAACCCAGGAATTAGAAGAAGCAATCTCGTTGTTTTACAACCAATTTGCCACAACCCAAGTTACCAAGTTCAAAAAAGAATCAAGCTTAATTGTATGATTTAATTGATGAAGTAAAAACTAGGGGTTTAGGGAGCAACCTGTGAAATTGATTCTGCTGCGCCTTCGATCTTTCCTCTTTTTGTCAGTTCTTCCCTAAAAAGATTGGCAAATATATATAGGTCAGCTAAATGAAACTTACTCTAAATATATACGGAAATGAAAAAGAAATTTATTAAATTACGTGAAATTGAACAAAAATATATTTTTTATTTGGCCAACAATATCTTTGTTATCAATACTTTAATTATTGATAGTTTTTACTTTGGTCAAAATTACCCCAGCTATTAAAGAATATTTTAGACTCTTTTTCATTTTTTATTTGCGAAAATTAAATCTAACGCTTGCAGACTTCAATTGGTACAACTAGATTATAAGTTCTTAGAGATCCTTAGCATTGGAAATATGGCTAGTTTCTTGAAAGAAAAACAAGTCAATACTGTACTTTGGAGAGAGCTCACAGCAAGGATATCTTGTTGTAAACGGTAAGATTACGGCGGACTTGCTCCGACAACCTCGCCCGAGCCTCCCTCCCTTCATTCAATGCTTGACAGTTTTCTTCATGCGGCGCGCGTGACACGTCTATCTTTGACACTCATTAATCAGCTAAAAGACGACGGTTGCTTGACAGTTTTCTTCATGCGGCGCGGCGTGACACTCATTAATCAGCAGCTAAAAGACGATGGTTGCGAAGGAAGCAAGGATGTTTATTGGCCCTATTTTTACAAGTGAAATTTTGAAATTTTGAATCGAATTTGTGAAACTATAGTACTATACTGAATAAGTAATTCTTAAGCAGTGTAACTTGAACGGACTACGCCTAGAAATACTTGAGACATATTAAAAGTGATGAACTTTTTACTTTGTTCGTATAGCTGAATCAATGTCATCTGATACTATGTTAATTTTCAGCATCTACATCTACACTTGAACAAATGGCAACAGTAAGTTGGATGATATACTTCACTTGTCACAACTATAACTTAAGTGAATGCTCAAAGTTTTCAGAAATAATGTATTACTTGCAAAGTACATAAACCAAATGAATCAACAAAATCCCCATATCTTAATTTTGGGCAAACGAACTGTACATATTATTATTTTTTCATCTTAGCTTATGTTGGGAGCTACCCTCCAAGCAAACTGGCACGGACATAATATAGTTATGAACACCCAAGATGCAGCAACCAAAAAACAAAAAAAATACTATTCCCTACCCTCAAACTCTCCCCAAAAAAAGAATCAGAAATTCTCAACTAGTCCCCCCTATCCTATGTTCCAGCTGAGCTGATCTTGATTTACTATTATGTATTTCTTTTCTTGGAAGTTGTTTGAAGGAAGATTACTAAAACCAGCCTCCGCCAAAAGCAAGTGTCTTATGTCACGACTGTTGGCTGCTTTTTGACAGATTCTTGTTGGCTAGCTGCATCAGCAGACGAGTCCTCGTCATCCTTCATGAGAAACTTGTCAACTTGAGCAGCTGCTTGTCGTCCTTCAGAGATGGCCCAAACCACCAAAGACTGTCCCCTACGACAGTCTCCTGCAGCAAACACCCCCTCCACACTAGTTGAGAAGCGTCCATAATCAGCCTTGAAGTTGGACCTGTTGTCCTTTTCTAATCCTAGTTTGTCTGCTATTGTCTGAACAAAAATCAAATACATGGTTTAACCAAGTCAACATTGAATTGAATTTCATCACAGCACCAGGATTCAAACAGGAAATTAAAATGAAGAGTCATTAAATACTAACCGATTCAGGACCAAGGAACCCCATGGCTAGCATAACCAGATCAGCCCCGATAATTTCTTCAGAGCCTTCTACTTCCTTGAATTGGAATCTTCCACTGGCATCTTTCTCCCACTGTACACGTATCACCTCCAGTCCTTTCACATTTCCATTTTCGTCTCCAATGAAACGCTTGGTCAAAACCTCATAGGATCTCGGATCCTTACCAAACTTTACAGCAGCTTCCTGATGCCCATAATCTACACGGAAGATACGAGGCCACTGCCAACAAAGAAATGTGAAGGACAGGTCACATTGATATTCAGGAATTTGATGAAAAAACTTGTCAACAGAAGTTATACGATCACTTTATGATCCTAACTCCAACTATAAAGCCAATTCTAGTAACTTCCACAGGAAGTATAAAAGAGCAGTTTCCTCAAGATCTTAACTGTCAAAAGCCTCATGTTGCCACTGAAACCATCATGCACATGATAGACATAAAGCAAGCATCTAATTGAGTAAAAAGCTCTAGATTAACTAAAACATGATCAAACCTGTGGCCAAGGATTTCCAGGAGCCCTAGTGTTTGGTGGCTGAGGAAGAAGCTCTAGATTCACTACGCTGGTGCAGCCATGGCGAATTGATGTTCCTATGCAGTCTGTCCCAGTGTCACCTCCACCAATAACAACCACCTTCTTTCCCTTGGCTGAAATGTATTTTCCATCCTGCAGATTGCTGTCAAGCAAACTTTTTGTGTTTGCGTGAAGGAATTCCATGGCGAAATGGACTCCGGATAATTCTCGTCCAGGAACAGGAAGGTCCCTACAAAAAGTCAACAAGTATTTAGTGAGCAATTACAAGTCGGAAAAGACACTAACGGCTGAACCAAAGTGAAATGACGACATCCAAGGTACTCACCTCGGCTTTGTGGCTCCAACAGCCAAAATAATTGCATCATGATCTTCACGAAGACTATCCAAGGAGTACGCAGGATCATTTCCAATATTTGCATTGACTACAAATTTCACCCCTTCCTTCTCCATAAGGTCAACCCGCCTCTGGACGACATCAATTTTGTCGGTCTTCATGTTGGGCACACCATACATCATCAGACCACCAATCCTATCAGCACGTTCAAACACGGTGACAGTATGACCCAATCTATTTAACTGATCAGCAGCAGCCAGGCCTGAGGGTCCACTTCCAACAATTGCAACTCTTCTCCTGATAGAGGAAAAATGTGAGCCATCAAAGTTACATATGGTAGAGTCTAAATGTCTAACCATTAAAGCTAATTACTATGAGCATCAATCAGTACAGGCACAACTACTTCTGAAAACCTATGATGCTAGCAGCAAACACATTGTAAGATAACAAACGGGAAAGAGGATAAAATGCATTACAAGCAAATGATGAGTGCATACCCGGTTCTCTCAGAAGGAGGTCGTGGCACCATCCACCCCTCCTCAAAAGCTTTGTCAATAATGGCACATTCAATGCTTTTGATAGAAACGGGATTCTCAATGATACCAAGCACACAAGATCCTTCACATGGTGCAGGGCACACTCGACCAGTGAACTCAGGGAAGTTGTTTGTCTCAAGAAGCCTATCCAGTGCTTCACGCCATCTATTCTGATACACTAACTCATTGAATTCTGGTATTTTGTTTCCAAGAGGACATCCAGAGTTCTCCTGCAAAATATTTTATATAAACATAGTTGACTCAGATTTTGGCCCTTTGCATTTCATTGTGTGTAATAATCACCACATATATCAGCATTAAAATTACCTGATGACAAAAAGGAGTTCCACAGTCCATGCAGCGTGCAGATTGTGTCGTAAGGAGCGGACCGGGTTTTGATTCCTCCATAACCTCTTTCCAGTCCTCCATCCGAACATTTGGATCCCTGTAGGACACACCCTGTCGCTCATAAGCAACAAAACCTCGATGCTTGACTGCCTCAGCAACTTGGATGGGCCTCTTCAATGTCTGCTCCTCTTCAACCTGCAAAGACCAAAACTACTTATATAAAGTTGCAACACATATTGTAAAGCCTCTCACATCTAAATACCCATATGCAACTCCAAAGACCAATAAAATAATTAAAGTAATAATCAGGTTCATTACATGGAAATGCAGGCATCTGAAACAAATATCCATCCAGTCCCAAATTGGAAGTGCAACGATGCTTTAATGATTTTAATAATAATAATAATAATAATAATAATAATAATAATATATATATCAGCATTTCTAGCTATCAATAGAAAATATAGGATCTCTATGGAATATGATGAAATAATACAAAAGAAATTCCAGGGTAGCTCAATTAGAAACTCCATAGATGAACTAACCTGACTGGATTCATCCTTAGATGCAGCTGCTAACTTCTTCAGCTCTTCAAAGGCATCTTTTTCCTTCAACTCTTCTTCTTCTTGCTCCTCCGCTTCCTTGATGGCACGTTCTTTTGCTGCTTCGTAAGCTTCCTCCTTTTTCATGCTTGCAAGAACCCGTTTATAATCTCTAGGGAAGACCTTAATAAATCTAGGCAAAAGATTATCAAAATCAGCAAGAACTTCTTTCGCCAGTTGGCTGTTTGTGTTACGCTGGTGTTGCTGTATCATCATCTTCAAAGTCATGATATCTTCTTCTTCTTCAACTTTATCGAGATCAACCAGCTCTGGATTGCAATGAGAGTGGAACGTGGAATGCAAGTCAAGTACATAAGCAACACCACCACTCATACCAGCCGCGAAGTTTCTTCCAGTCTTCCCAAGCACAACAACTGTACCACCAGTCATGTACTCACAGCCATGATCACCAACTCCTTCTACAACAGCTTTGGCCCCTGAGTTACGGACACAAAATCTTTCTGCTGCCATCCCATTAAAATATGCCTCCCCACTTGTTGCCCCATAAAGAGCTACATTTCCAATCACAATATTTTCTTTGGGGTCAAACTTGCTTCCTTTTGGGGGATAAACAACGATTTTGCCACCCGATAAACCTTTACCAACATAATCATTGCTGTCTCCTTCAAGCTCTAATGTGATGCCAGGGCAAAGAAAAGCCCCAAGACTCTGTCCTGCACTTCCACTAAGCTTGATATGAATGGTGTCTGTAGGAAGACCTGCGAGGTGATAACGCTTGGTCACTTCATGGCTTAGCATAGTTCCAACAGCCCGGTTTACATTGCAGATTGGAGTTTCAATATACACAGGAAGACTTCTCTCTAAAGCAGCCTTGGAAAGGGCTATTAAATTGTTATCTAAAGCCATGTCCAAACCATGATCCTGTTTCTGTATACAATATTGGGCAGCTTCAGGCCGGATATCAGCAGCAGGTCGAAGCAGTAGGGACAGATCAATATTC